GGTGAAACCACTACTATATATTCTTTTTTATTAATCACTTTAATTCATTACTATTTTTTCTTTGATGATTCAAAACAAATTTAGATCAAATCAGTAAATGTTTCGATTTCGCTATCAACTTTATGAAACTGAATGGTTTAGTAGACATAGGGATATCGACTGTCTAATAAAGAATACATGAAAATCAGAAAGCATTTCAAATGGATCCCTTTTGAAAATTTACCAATGTTGAATATCTTTGAACAATTTATAAAGCACTGTTACACTATTACAAGAGAACCCCGAGCAATATATACAGAGGTCAGAGGAGAGTTTGCTGAGCTATCATATAAAATTGCTTTGGCCCAAACTTACTATAAAACTGTTGATTCAGATGTCCATTTCCTAATTTAGTAACTTCTGATCTGTATCGCTCGGGGTCCTATTACAAGTGGGATTATGAAGACAACGAATTTAAAAGAGATGGATACAGAGTTAATCATCATGTAATTCAAAGCAAATTGTAAACGAGGTAAAAGTAAAGAATTTCTAAAGTGAAAACAAGTTGCTTTTTTGTTTTCTAGTACAATTAATCTTTTCAAAAATAGATTCGGACTACTCTTAAGTTCAATGATGATTGCTTTGGAATAAATTATGGAATAACTAAAAATCAAACTAACAATGAATACTCGATATTTAAATCATTTCCTATTACCGTTACACAATACATGTATATTTATCTTTATATTGTTGCGGTTACGTTTTGTTTTGGCGGGTTGGAGGATTTATGCCGCAACAAGACTTTGTGAGAGATTGATAGACTAAGCAGTTATTTCTTTCGGTATCTAGAGCTTATGCCGATATCTACGGTATCGTTGATTATGTTGATTTGGGGGAGAGATTATGTGTTTCATGTGGGTGTTCGAGGGGATTTCTTAGTTGTTGCTTTTTCTAGATAAAAGCCTTAAACTCTTAAAGAATTAATAACAATTACACAAAAACGGTTTCTTAACAATAGCACGATAACACGATTTCACGAAAAACAATGCCTTTTTTTGGTACAAAGAACCTAATCGATAAACAATATTACGACTATTACAGGGAGAAAAGGGGAGAGTTTTACAAGCAATAATTTACTTAGGGGGAGAATAATTGTACGCAAGCATTCAAGTTTAATTTTGCTTGGAGAAGAATTGTACACAATTTCAATTTCTGTTCTTTTATTAGATCGTTCGTTTATACATTTTTTTGTATTATGCCATTTGTTACCTTTTTTAATATTACTTTGGCTATTAATAAAAACAATTACAATGGACACTCTAACATTTATGGAAGAAACTGACGTAAAATGAATTGAAAACTGATGGAAAGATGCTGAAGTATGATGAGAAGACGCTAAAAAATGATGAGGAGATGCTGAAAAATGATGCCAAATTCTGAGAAGGAAAAACACTGATGACAGATGCTGTATTTTGACAAAAAAGGCGCGGAGAATGGTGTAGTGCTGTATATCGAAAAGAGAAGCTTGTTGTTTTTATCAGCATGTCAGTGAGAATTTATGCTGCAGAAACTTTCAAAAAAGGAGATCACATTGTTGAAGTTTGTAACAGAAATTTGTGGTTGTTATGTTGGAAAATTCTCAAACCGCATTATTGACATTCGTGTTGAGAATTTGCTGCTGTTTTGCTGAAAAATCTACAGCTGTAAAATCTACTAGTTTTGAAAATCAGCATCACTGACATATGCATGCATCTAGCGTCAACGATCTCCTCTTGCAATCGGAAAAGTTTGATCGCTGGTAGTAATAATATCACAATTGTATCATTCTAACTACACGTACGAAGAATTGACATGGGATCAAAAATTAGAATATTTACTTTTGGTCTGAGAAAAATTTATGAAAGAAATTTGTGCATTGTGACTTTCACTCTGCTAAATTTTGATGCTTTCATTGCCGATTTTGGGCTTACCAGCAAATATAGAAAAATCTGATTAAGGAATACTTCCTTATGAGTCCAGAGATACTAAGCTGCAGATATTTATAGTTATGGGATGGTTATGTACGAGGTTGTCACAGGTGAACGACCATCAGTGAACGGAGTCATGGTATAAATCTCGTATAAAGGAGTACGACCTATGATACTAAATAATGTTCCCGATGGTTGCAAATTTATTATTGAAAAATGTTGAGATCCTATTCCACACATACTACTGAGGAACTTCAAGTCTTTATCAACGAGGTTGAGGGTTACCACTTAATATTTTGCATTTCAGTTACAACAGCTTTTTAGAATCCTAAGACGCGCGAAGAAATAACTGAGTGTCTTAAACTAGAAATTCAGAAATTAAGGGGACTTGATGATGAGATGAAGTTACAAAAAAGCATTCCTACAAATATGAACAAAAAACAAGAAATCCACTTAAATGCAGTTTATATTAGTCGAATCTTTACTTCAAAATTAATTCAATTCCACAGGTACTTTATACGTTAACTTCTCTACAAATACCCAACGACTAACTAGGTCATTTGCACATTTTGCAAATGACTCGAAATGATCTACGTGTCATTTCGTCACTTAGGTCGTTTCTATACTTTAACCAATAGAATTTCAGTGAGTCATTTTTGTTCATAGCTAAACAGTGAGAAAAAGTCGAAATAAAAGTTGATTGAGTTACGAAGGAAATAAGGCAAAAAAAGATAATTAGTGAATGGCAGAAAAGTTATAAACAAAGTTCAAATCTTAATTTTTAAAAATTTTATCGGATAAAAGGAGATCATGAGGCACTTGACTTTTTGAAATGATCACATTTGGGTCATTTACCATCACTGTTAATATTATTGTTATCGTTATCGCTTAAAAAGAATTTGTTCGTCAATTAAATTTAATTACCGATCGATATATCAAACGCGTAAAAACAGAATTAATTTACACGCGAATAATAAATGGCTCTCACAAAAAAACGGAAGTTCTATAACGATAACGATAACGATGACTTTTAACACAATCTAAATCATGATTTTTATTTTACCTTCTTAAATAAAGCATTGCACATAAGGTGAACTCACCGGGATGCTTTGTGGATTAGTGACGGTAAAAATTCTGTAATTTCGCTATATCGTTAAAGTTTATTATAACGAACATTTGTACTGTATTTAATATCGATATTCCGTGTTTGTCTGCATCACTAGTAATAAATCGTTCCAACCCACTTTCGAAAGAGAAATTATTTTTTTCTTAAACAATTTGATTGCATTCATTTATTAGTCAGTCTGTAATATTCATAACATGCTCTATAGTACTCATTTTTTTGACAGTCGTTACATTTACCGTTTATTACAAACTCGACAATAATACGTACATTGTACTTGTACTTTATCACGTGGTGATTAGTGTATGTAAAATAAAAATGTGTACGTACGTACGTACGTATCTTGTAAATCGATTTTGTTATTTCTATTTGTACTGTACATGTATAAAAGAAATAATAATATAGGATACATCGATTTCATCGCCATCAATATTTTGCTAATCTCTTTTGAGATTACGTGCGTACCGATACCGATAGTAAAATGCATGCTGATTTCAACGAGGAAAGATAGGGCTTTCAGAAGTAGAAAAATCGCAGAAATTACCGGATATCCTAAATCTACTGTACGAGTTACGCTTCAATGTTACCGAATCGAGGGAAGCACATCAAAAGTGCATCGCGAAGTGGCCATCCGCGTTTTCTTAATGAAAATGCTATCAAAAAACAATCATTACATAATCTCTATTGAAATTCACCAAGAATTAGGCAGCCAAAAAAATCTGCAATTCTTTGCATGAACTTGAATAAACTATCAGATTTTAATCGTTGTGCTTTAACTCGAAACATAATTCAATGATCTTTTTAATGCGATTCTATAATGCATATATAAATTAATACTTACCAGTTTCATCTATTAGGTAACGAGCATGATATTGGAAGTGATTCACCATGAAGTTCTTGAAACTTTTTTTATGCTCGTTAATTTCGTCTGAAATCCAACAAAAGAAAAGAGTAATGAATTAATAACAAGCCATTTTACCTTCGTTGGAACAAACGATCTGACCTAAGAATTTGATATGAATTTTAGAAATAAAAATACCTGTGTCAGTTGGAATTGAAATTAATTTTTAGTAAAGATTCGACTGGTGTAAACTGCATTTAAGTAGATTTCTTGTTTTGTTTTTTGTAGGGATGCTTTTCATCTTTTCTAGTTTAAGACAGTTAATAACGATAATTTCTTCGCGTGTTTTAGGATATTCTAAAGAATAAATTTGCACCATCCAGGAACATGATCTGGTGGTATATTACTTAGGTCGTTCTCCATGTCGTCATATACAAGATCATTTCCATGACTCCGCTCATCAAATAGTCGTTCGTTCACCTGTGGTGACCTCGTACACAATCATCCTCAAACTGTAGATGTCTGCAGCGGCTTTCCATTTGGTACTCTGGACTAATATAAAGAAGTACTCCTTGATCAGATTTTTCTATATCTGCTGGTTTGGTAAGTCCAAAATCAGGATGAAAAAGTCAACGATGCACAAATTCCTCTATTCAAACCTAGGGTAGTAATGTTCTAATTTCGCTTCCCAATTCAATTCTTCGTACAAGTATTTGGAATTCATATATCTCCAGCTTCTGCGTAATCTATCCCACTGGCTAATTCGTCCGTTCAACCAGGTTGCTTTATAAATTGTCCCAAAATTTTCTTTGTCGAATCTTTCAAAAGGGATCTATTCAAATATATAATGTGGTCAGAGCTCTATATACCGATGCCTCTTTATAACAATATATCACTTTCAAAAGTGGTTTTAGAGTATTTATTAGTTTCAGAATATAAAAAAACATCGTTAGCTCATTATACCGATAATTTCAAAAATCTTCTCTCTTATTAGTACCACGTGATAATGTAATAATGCCTTACCCCAAGTTCTAATTGGACGCAAGTAATTTTCATCGCTGATTGGTTGATTGCACACCGATTAACCAAAATGCGAATAAATGGTAACGGTAAGGTAATGTGAAAACAGATGCTTAAATCTGGCTTGAAGCACTAATCAAAAATAATCTTTATCCTCAACCAATCAGAACTCGGGATGGAAATTTCGTAATGTCAGCGCTCTTATTGCATTCTTTTATATCTAGACCATTCAACTTAGTAAATGAGTAACTTTAACTCCCCGTTCCGAAAACAGTTTTACAAAATCAAAATTATTAAATGCAACCCTCTCGAAATTTGATAATTCATAAGCAACCTCTTAATATACTTAGTTTCATGAATAACAAAATTAATTCTTTATTTACAATACTAATTACAAGAATCTCAAATAAAAACGCGGCGATAATGTTTTTAACCATAACGATGATGTGTCAATGATATTACAATAAAACGTGTTATTCTATTTAGAAAACCGTGGCGAATAATTACTCTTCTTAGCCAGATAAACCAATATATCTGCCACCTGGTCGCCACGGTGAGGCGAGAGCAATATTAGACCAGGCCCACGGTCGAGGCTACGCCAAAAACAACGTAGGGGTGTTTAACCAGGCCACACCCAAAGGGTCGAACCATAGGGAACCGCTGCACACCGACGTGTTGTTTAATGAATGTTAAAGGTCGAAATACGGCTTTTACTCGGAACTACAAAAGACCCCTTTTTGAGGACAGAGAACGCCTTATAGACCGTCTTGCTGTATTAAACTGAACAAGGAAACGTCATGCACTCCAAGCCCCTTTTGTTGAGCAGATGCAAAAGTGAGTCGACCTGTTGGAATATTTTGTACGTGATGGTTGTCGGTTTAGGGATTGTCGTTGGTTCCTTAATGGCGGAAACTAGGACAAAGTCCCAGCTCCGCAGTGATAAAAAGAATGTATTAAGGGTTTAAAAATCTGTTCGGTAGTTTCAGAAAACAGCAATAAGAGAAATAAAAATAATAAATTACCTTTATAGTTGCATTATTCCAGCGAGAAGCTAATATATTCAAGCGTAGTGTGCAATGCAAGTTATTCAAAAATAAATCATCAACAAAAGTATAAGATATTACCGGATTTCCATCGTTAAGTGAAAGAAAAAGCAACGCGATGTCCTTCGTCCTTTCGTCGATTAATAGTAATCTCGATTTTCCACTGCATTAAACATCACCTCCAAGCAAAGATACACGCACTCCCTTACTTTTAAGACGAAAGAGGCAACCGTCAAACCTGGGTGGACCACAGGTGGAAGAAGATTGTATACGCGCCGAATCTGGTGTTGTTCATTTGGTGTTGCTCAATGACTAAAATTAATGTCACAAAGAAAAGAAAACACGCGTTGCTGTTGGCCGTTTGCCGTCGTGTTGTTGCTCAAGAGAAAATTAGTGAGTAAATCGTTGCAAAGATTTAAAAATACACAATAAAAAATAAAGGTGTAGGAGCGGAAAAACAACCTAGCTAAGGATTAAATGAAATAATGGAAAAGGATGATAAAATCCAACCCACCACCCCATCACCCCTTATATATATTTGAGAATCGCGAGCATCTCAAAACAAAAACAACGATCAACAAACAATTGATAACGCGCGTGATTTGTGTTTCTGTGTTATGTTGTGTTATGTTATTTCCTTTTCGAGAATTGTTTACAGTATATGTACACAAAGGGTGATCCAAACATTCACATGTTATTAACCAATAGAGACGAACCAAATCTCAAATTTCCTAATATGGGGGTCCACTAAAGCAAGGTAGTTTCACGTGATTTAAAGATCCAAGCCGGATTAATTCAATCCAGATCACAT